CTTTTTTTAGTTCGGCTAATATTTTCAAAAAAAAGTTCGGTTCGATTAACGGTTAAAAAAAGTTTGGTTAATTCGATTTAATAGAAATTTGATTCGATCGGTGACCGAATTAACCATTTGACCACTTAATCTTACAAAAAAAAGGCTAAAATAATAATAATACATAAATTCTACAAGTGATTATAGTTTATTTTAGTTTAAACCAAATTAAAAATGATTAATATTAGATTAAAACAAAAAAGTGAATCAAATAAAAAGAAAAAAAAACAAAGCAAAGAACTTTCTTCATTATTTCATTTTTATAATTTTTTTCTTCTTATTTATAAAATCTTGTCTCCCACAATCATTATGCATCATATGAAAGTTGCAACGCAATCCAGAAAGTTATTTGCATTATTATTTTTATGTGGTTCAGATTTTGAATGTGACTCCAATATTAACCAGTGTGTTAATTTAGTTTAATTAAAATCAATCATAATCATGTCAAGTCAGACGATAATATAATGCACATGAGTATGATGTGATGTTTAATAATTAGACAAATGATTTAATAATGAATGACCTAATTGGCATCGATGGATAATTTAAGGATATAATTAAAATATTTTAAAATTTAAGAATGAATATAGATGATAACCACTTCTTACTCTCTCGTTATAACGATGTTCAATTTTCTAAATAAATCGTGAGATGTTAATTTTTTAGAATTATTATTTGATACATTAAATTTATAAGTTGGATTTAAAAATCTACAAGTGAAACTAAAGAAAACTATTATATGCCATATTTTTATGATTTTTAATTTTGAGTATCAGTTAAGTCCACATAATAATTTTTAACTTTATTTATAGAATCACATGAATTAATTGACCCCGACGGTAAAAGAATTGTTGTTATTCGTTGATGTTTCGGGTTAAAGCACTAGAAAGGCCAGTGTTGTGAGCGTTCAATATCAAATGATTGAAAGTTATTTTCGAACATATGTTACATTATAGTTACCTCAATTTAATATAAAAATGCCCTTTAACTAATGATTTCCGTCGTTGACCGTTACAATACTGACCTAACACTTTAATCTTTTGATTTTTTTTCAATCTCTCTTAAAATTTGATTCTTTCACTTAAGCATTTTGTTTTCATCACTATTGATATTAGTGTCATTATCTTGGAACACATAATAATATTAGGAAGTACAATATTTTAGAATTATTTGCAAATTTTAATATATCTAAAGAAAATTTTGGTATCAGTATGTTTTTTTTTGGTACAGAAGTATAAAAACGACTACGTATGGTCGTCTACCATCTTAAACATCTTTCTCCTTTCACATCCATCCTCGGCAGCGGCCACAATTCCTTCGGTGGTTCATTCAGTATATGGGTTCCCTCCTCGAAAGCAAGATTAGCAAAACGGTCGATGCAAGAGTACCCTCTCTACAGGCATGTGTATACTCGACAATCCAGCCTTCTTTATCAATTTCAGTGCATTTATTGAAGAAAAGATCCATTTGAACAACAACATTGTGTCTTCTTTTAAGGGTTTCTATAGTCCATTCGGTATCAGCTTCAACTATGAGTCTTCTCGCCCCCAGTGCCTTACCCATCCGAAGACCTCTGATTCCCCAAATTTCAGCAACAACGCTGTTAGTTTGTCTGATTTTAGCCATAAATCCTTGTACCCAATTTCCATTTTCATCTCTAATGAGACCTCCCGTTGTTGTCTAGTCGATTCTCATCTTACAGGCAGTCACGTTTCTAAGATTTTAGTAGCATAGGGCGAATATAAAAATTATGCCCCCAATAACATGTATAGAAAAAAAATTGAATTATTACAACAAGCAAAACTAAATAAATTTGCTTGTAAACTGTTTTTTATTATATTTAATAAATTATCTAATAAAAAACTTAAACTTTAAATAGAAAATAATAAGAAATTTTATTAGACATCAAATTACTCAAACAAAACAAGCATGATTCTCTTTTAAATGGGTACATGTTAGACTTTAGCCTTCTCCATCTTGTCAAAAAAAATAATAAAATAATAATTAATGGAAAGCAAAAAAATAATTTAAAAATGTCACATCAACATCGTCGTTAATTTTCTAATGTTGGATAATAAAATAAGAAACAAAATATAAAGTTAAGTGTGATTTTGAGAAAAATAACAATTTGATGATCAAAACAAATTTAAAATAATAAATCGGTGATTAAATAAATAATTATCATTTCTTAATTATATGTGAAATTACAATTTTAAGTCCAAGACAAGAGGAGACCCTGAACAAGTGCCATATGCTCAGGGACGGGCCTGCTTACAGGTCTAGTCCGAGTTCAAGATCCAGCAGCCTCCTCTTGGTTTTCTCCACATAACCCAGATCGGTTCTTTCGTGATTTTGCTGTAATTGTTATCCAGAGCTGCTTTGAAGTCTCTGGCTATTTTGAAACTGTACTCTACGGTTTGTGCTGTTGTTCCCCATACCATACCTTCGGGTCCGGTCTTCTTCGAGCAACAATCTTTTCGTAATCATTCTTTGAAATCCCTCGTATCAAATTGACTATCCTATTTTCTTAATAATTCTCATCCAATCAACAATTTATAAAACACTTTATTTTTTATTAAAATAATATAAATTTGATTGGAAGAGAATTGTTTTTAATGTAATATAAATAATTTGATTGGATGAGAATTATTATTTGATAAATTAAATTTATAAGTTGGATTAAAAAATCTACAAGTGAAACTAAAGAAAACTATTATATGTCATATTTTTATAATTTTTAATTTTTTGAGTATCAGTTAAGTCCACATAATAATTTCTAAACATTATTTATAGAATTAAAAATAACCATTGTTGATGGATCAAATAATCAATCTTTATTTATTCCACTTTGAATCTTTGGTTTAATCAAACTAGCTATGAACATTCAAAATAAACTAAAGAATTTATATATGCTATCAAGATTCCCATGGACCCAATGTGGTCAAATGTTAATTTTGACTGAAAATGTAGGATATTTGGTCAACAAAACCAGGAATAATCAATAATACGATATTTTTACAATAAGTATTTGTTTGGTTGATTTTTGGACGAAAAGAATTAGTCAAAGATAGCTGCTTGACCTTAATCTATGGCTTTAGAAGCAGCAGACACACAATCTAATCTTCGTGTTTACTCTGGTTATCCCCCTACAAGAAAAGTGTTCCATATATATAATATAATATAATATAATAATTAGCTTACATAGAACATGATTTATTAATGTTAAATGATTTTATAATTTATAATATGATAAATATTTCAATAATTGATAATTAGGTTTAGTAACATAATTGAAAAAATAAACAACAAAGGTTAGCACGATCCAAGCGATCTCGATTGTAATGAAATTATTGTTATTTCTTGAGGTCCCGAGTTTGAGCACTAGGAATGTGAGTGGTGTGAGTCTTCAATGTTAAATGATAGAGAATTATCTATAAACATATATTGCCTTGTACTTACCTTATATTAAGGTTAAATTCACTTGTCGTGGAACTAATATGGCGATTGATAATGGACTAACTATAAAATAAGTGCCCAAACTATAGCGCTTTTCACGAATATGTGCCTAAACTATTTTTGGAATGATCATAGTGTCTAACATTACAAACGTTACCACTTTAGGTGTTCAGGCCGTAAACGCTTTGTTAATTGACATATGTCACGCTCTAATAATTTTAAAAAATTTATTTAAAATTAAAAAATTTAAATTATATATTAAACACAAAAATTTTGAAATAGCCCCAAAACTTTGAAAACCTTCATTTCAACCCCTAAACCCATGCCGACCGCCGACCTTTGCCATTGACAAAGCTCCACTAGACCTCACCTCCCCCTGGCAATCAATACCCCTATGAAATCGTGACCGATCGTCGTTTTATACCTTGTGAATCCTAAGATGAAAATCGTGATCCCACGCGATTCCGACAGCTAATCAATGTCAACTAAGGCGATGTATGACTAGGAGGGTGGTAGGAATTACTTCAGTGGCAGTGGTCATGGTCGAAAAGAGTAGCGAGGATGAGTTAGGGTTAGGGATTAAGATTTTTTTTATGAATTTGGGTTTTTTTTTTTTGTAATTTAAGAGAAATATGGTTTATATATATAAATAATAATAGTTTTAATTTCAAAAAAATTAAAATTACTAGAATGTGGCATGTGTCACTTAACGGAGAAAATTAATGGCAGTTACATCCGTACAGCTAAAGTGATAACGTTTGTAACGTTAGACACCGATATCATTCAAAAAATAGTTTGGGCACCTATTCGTGAAAAATGTTATAGTTTAGTGGTCACTTATTTTATAATTAAGCCATTGATATTATAATTAAGTAAACGAATTTTTTAAATTTTCAATTGATCTCATTTTTATAACAATTCATAGTCTTAGAGAGATAGTTTTATTTTATTTTATTTTATTTTATATAGTAGGACTGTTGTTTATTTATTCTTAGCTTACTCCTCTCTTATATTAAAAAAAATATTCCGTGCTTTGAATTTGTTAGTTTGTTCTTAGTTTGGTTAATTTGATTAATAAATTTTTTAGCTCAGGGAAAAAACATTCCATTTGACCTGAAATCTCAGATATTATTTACAAGAAGCAAGCTAAGATTTAATTTTGAGATAATTAGATTAGATATATAAATTAGGACCATCATTCTAAAATAATCTTTAAATTTTAATATATTCTATATCAATTTTTGAATTATAATTTTATTATAAATTGATCCCTAAACATTAAAAAAATGTCCTATAATAAGAACTCTTTTATCACCGATGTCACTTCGTCCGTGTAATTGGTTTGAATATTAATGTGGAAGTTCGACTCATCTTTAGAAGGGGTTAATCTTGAACAATCTCTACTCTTTTTAATTTTGAAGTTTGGAAGATAAAAAAAACCCATACTCTTTCTAAACAAACTAATAAACTAAAAACAAAGCAAGAGGATTGAAATTGTGAATATTAATATTAGTTTTATTAGTGCATAAACAGAAGTTGTATTAGAAATGAAATCCAAGAGGAAGAAGTGAAGTATTATTTACATAAGAAAGGGATCAAGAGCCAATTCCACAACTGATTTGAGGTCTTCCCAGTTGGCATTTGTGAAGAAATCATTTTCCGGACAGTTGGAGAAGCACGAAGATGGTGACGATGCCATAGATTGTTGCTCCCCATGCCATTCTCTTCTCAAAGCTGCTGCTGCTGCTGCTTTGTCGTCATCATGGTTTTGAGAGCTGAAAGTTATGTAATTTTCACGACTGCTTGATTCCACGCTGCAACTTTGCGAGCTGTGTATGCCATTGCCATTTGAAGAACGTTTAGCAGCCACTCGTCCCCAATTCGGCGTGCTCTTCCTGTTATCAACGTACCGCTTGAAAATCCGACATATCGTCCATACTTCCTGCGATCGGAATCCTTTCAAATGAATGGAATTGGAACCCTTCAACACTACTTTTTGATGTATTGATAGAAGGCTTTACTTACAGCATCTTGTGGATTGGATTTGGGATTGGGAAGGCGAAACTCATGCATCATCCACTCGGTTTTAGTGCCCTTGCCTGCACTCCCTCGGTAGTACACCAATGTTTTCTTTAGCCCGATGCAGTTGGCTTCACCTCGAACGGAATAAACCGGCTTGTCGATGCCGGTTGCTTTCCAGAATCCCGAACCCGTCACTCGGTTCGGTCTTACACTGTTTCGATACTTTCTTCCTCGTCTACAGTAGAAATAAGATTCGTTTTCGTCGCCCGCCGTGTTGGCCTCTGCATATGAAACAAACTATTAACGTAAAGAAATTCATATAAATACGAAGGACGAAAGTAGATAGAACAAAACGTACTTGGAAGATCCCAAGGATCGTATTTGTAGATGTCGATATGTTTGATGAGGTGATCGATGTGGAGGGATTTGTTGTCGATTTTTCGACGGAGATAAAACCCTACAAGCTCTTCATCTGTTGGGTGGAATCGGAAACCTGGAAGTTGAACATCTTCTTCGTTGTTAACACTAGTGCCTTGGATCATGTTCATCTTTTATTTCTGTTTCTTTTATGATTTCTATCACTTTAATTTCCCTGTGTACTGAGAAGGCTTTGAACACAAACGAACCTTATATAAGAAAAATGTTAATTTGAAGTCAACTGAATGTTGGTAGTTGAGGTCAAGTCAAAAGTATGGACTCTTTCGCCCAATCACCTTTGAAAATGTCTTTATTTTCTTATTATTATATATATATTCAAAAAACTAATATCTAAACTTGGGTATACGAACCAAATCAACTCAATAATTAAGAAGTAGTTATTATTCCTATAGACTTTGGGTTTGAGCATATCGTTTAAAGGAATTGTTGTTATCCCTACAGATATTGGGTTCGAGTATATCTCTTATCGGAGTGCTTAACCGTTCATCGTCAAATTATTAAGAATATTTCAAATAGATATTACTTTATAATCATCTCATACTACGCGTCATCAAGGAAGAATAAAATTCTTTTTAATCATTTGGATCATTCCAAAGATTCTTATAATTTTAATATTTATATTCTAATTTGATATAATTTTATATTTTATTTTCATAATGTTAATTCGAAAAGGTTATAGTGTTTTCAGTTGAATTATTTATGTGGACCTTTTTTTTACATACATCTTTTCCAGCTTATCTTTCTTAGATGGTGTTAATTATTTTGACAAATGACATTGTAAAATTAAAACCATGGGTGGAGATGATTGGTCCCTATCTTTTTCTGAGAAAATTTCATAAAATTTATATAAAAATATTTTTAATTTAATATCTTTTTAAACAAAATATTCATATTATTCTTTTTTAAAATTCTGAGATTATAATATTAAATTTTCTTTCAATGATTAGATTTTAAATTCGAGAGTAAGGAAAAGAATAAAATTATAATCTGATTAATTAAAATTAATATCAAAAAATATATTTGGATTCAAAAGTAATGGTAAGACAAAAATTGTCATTAAAGATATTAGATGAAAATATTTATATATAATGAATAGTTAAAAATTATACTTGTATTAAATAAAAAGTATATATTTAAATCGCAATAATGTTGAAGTATAATTAATAGATTCCTTTGTAACTTGAACTTGGTATGCAACTCAAGTATAATATTATAATAAAGCCATCTAGATAATTAGTAAAGACCAGGGGCACATGTACAAATATTATTAGGCCTGTAAACGAACCGAATGCACATGAACGGAGGTATGTTTATGTTCGTTCATTTAATAAATAAACGAATATAAACGAACACGAACATAAACGAACAATTTTTTTTTGTTCATGTTCGTTTATTAAAGAATATAACTTGTTCATGTTCATTCATTTAATAAATAAACGAACATAAACGAACACGAACATAAACGAACATAAACGTTGGAGACCCTACCTTCCATTGTTCTTTCATGAAAAATAGTCGACAATGCAAATGAACAAAATCTACAGTGATAAATAGCGTAAGAGCTGATTAGCAATGATGAAATGTTTGAAGATATCAAATATTTCGATCGATCTTTTAAAGATATTAAATGATTCACACGACTTTAATTTAACGATATAACATTTATCTTAGTGGTCCATGATTACATATGAGCAATCATTTTCCACTACGTTATTCTAATAAATTCGCCGGCTAAAAGTTATGTGACATCAATGTCAAACTTTAGTGAGGTTTGTTAATAATGGTCCTTTCCGTTGGCAGAGTAGAAAATTTAACCGCATGAAGATTTCGAATGGTACAAATTGGACTACAAGGCAATAATATAGATACGAAATCTCTTCGATGGTACATATCGTAACTGATATTATTGCTAAACCACCATTCAAAATTTTAACGTACCTAAAGTCTACTCCACAACTAAAGGTCACACAAGAACTATGAAAACAAAAGTTCATTGTCAAAGTGTATTTTCTACTTATTAATGGGTTCTTCCTGGAAAACCCATTACTTCCGCTATTACACTCTTTTTCAGAAATTGCATAGAAACATTTGTTTTGTTTTATGGCAAATTCTATATATTTTTCTCTTTACTGATACTCATATACTTCTGATTGTTACCTTTATCTTCCCATCTATTTCTAGAAAGAAATATGATGTTTTCTTGAGTTTTAGATGTGAAGATACCCGCAATAACTTTACATATCAACTATTAAGCCAAATAAAACAGAGTAAGAGATGAAAAACATACATGTAAAACTTTAGATTGCACTATAATATAACTTGTTTTGAAGCTTTCAACGATCGTCTCCACTCTCTAGTGAACACTAGGGTTTGGGAAAAAAGGGGAAATGAATATAGGTGCAAGGTGCCTCACGGGTTAACATATTGGATTTAATCTCCAAATAAAATTGGATTAATTATAGATTTGGTCATCAGAATATCAAATTAATTAATATTTTTAAGATACTTACAAATTGGTCACCAAAATTGATTTAAGAAGATTATGTTAAACATAAATGAATGAACATAAACGAACATAACCGAACGAACATAACCGAACATAACCGAACAAATATAACCGAACGTTCACGAACGTAAATGAACGAACGATACATATGTTCATGTTCGTTCATTTAATTCAACGAACACAAAATCTTGTTCATGTTCGTTCATTTAATAAATAAACGCACATAAACAAATTTCACGCCTCACAATTCATGAACGGTTTGCTGAACGTTGTGTTACAACTTGATGACCGATTTTGGGTAATAAAATGTCAAACATAATATCTGTTTTCGAACATTCAATGTCAGCTAAGTTGGCCGTCTCCTTATTCAAAATAAACCAACTAAGATTATTAAAACATATATATAAGTAGGGGCGGACCGAGGAATGGTTGAGAGAGTCATCTTTCCTAATAAGTATTCTCTAATAATTTCAAATTATCATATATTTTAAATTGTTATATTTTGCACGAATCAAGTAGTCTCTAAGGTAAAAATATTATTGTTATTTTTTTAAGACTCGAGTTCGAATACCATAGATTTTAGGAGTATGAGCTTTTAATGTGAAATTATTAAGATTTTTCTTTAAACATATACTGTCATATATTTATCTCAGATTAATCAAAAATAAAAATAAATTATTATCTTTTTATTGGTAATCTTTTTCGTTATTCTAAAACTTTAAAAGTACATTGATTCTAATATAAAATTGTACGTTTAAGTTCAACATTAATGGCTTGAGGACCATTTTAAAGGTCAATTTTATCTTTCATCTTAATTATTGTAACTGATGGTCTAATTTGACATACTCGCTGATTTTAATTTGATTCCTTTATCGCCGTTGCAGTCAATGGTGTGGTCTAGTCTTCGCCCCTTATTAGATGGTTAAATTCTAGTTTTAGTCACTACTAAGCACAAAAATTTAATTTAGTCCTTTGTCATCCTTAATAGAAAATTATAAGTTTAGCCCCTAGAAATAAATAATTAAATCTAAATCATTTTAACACTTTTTTTTGCTTTAATCCTAAATTAATTTTTTATCTGACCTCCCAATACAATAGTCTTATTTCATCTCTAATTGTAACAACCTAGAATATATGGGTTTGTATATTAAATTCTCATACTGATCTTGTAAATGTGAATTTCAATTTTTATATTATGGAAAGATGGATGCAAGTAGGAATAGACCGAGGGGGCGGGTGAGGACAGTCGCCTCCTGAAATTTTAAAATTACTATATATTTTAGATTTTTTTTATATTTTTTATTGAAAATTTGTTTTTACTCCTTAAAAATTTTGAAGTTTAAGTTCGTCCCTCTAAATTTTAAAAATTTAAATTCGCCTCCTAACATAAAATCATACATCCATATATGAGCAAAATGTTGAAGACATGAAATAGAAATTGGACCCATTGCACACTCAATTATAGAGTTATTAAATAAAATCAAAATCGTACTAGTGTGACCTTGAAAATGTGAAACAAAAATAACCATATATCCTATTCTAAGTATATATCATCTTCCATGACAGAATATACTTGTTAGACTCGGGAAATGCAAGTGGAAAGCTTGTTTAAGAGCAAGAGCCATCTTTGACCTTTTATAAGAGGGAATGAACTAAAAATAAAGGAATAACGATAAAAAAAATGTTTGGTTAGATAATCATTTTTTGCTCTTATTCATTTTTTGGACTATTCTGATTTCAAACATTTCATTTTGATATAAAAAGATGTTTTTATTAATGAAAATCATTAGTTAACAAATGATCAATGTTAAAAAAATAAGAGTATTTTTATCTTAAAATGAAACATTGAGATTAAAATGCTAAAACAAAAGAAAAAGAACTAACCTAACTATTTATTCAAATATTACGGGTCATTTACATTAAAATAATATATTAGAGGCTAAAATATTTTTTCTAAAAAAATATTTAATTAAATATTAATAATATTCCTTTAAATTAAATAAAAATAAATAATGGAAAATATATGATACACGTGGAGTAGAGTCTAAAGACTTCAGAAACATCTTTATGTTGATACCGTTTGTCATATTAGAAAAACATGAGAATTATTTGAACGGTAACTTCTGTCATATGCAAACTAATTTCATCATATTTCATTTATATGATATCTGATTTTTTTTTTACCGTAAATAAGAGTGCATTTGAACTCGTCAACTAGTATGTGGTTAAAGAAAGTGTTGAGATTTTGAGTTTAAATAATTATTTATGTAGTTTACAGTGTGTTGTCAATAGGTTAAAAATATTATGAATATATACTACTTTATAATCATTTCAAATTATTAAAAAAATATAAAACACATGAACTTATCCAATTACATCAACAAATGAACCACAACATGAGATTAAACTACTGCGAGACAACTGACAATCACAAATCATAGTCGAGCATGGTGAAAAAATATCCTCGACCCTAAGCAATATACCTACATCAAATTTGAGGGTCAAAAATAAAAAATATCAACAAGATAACAAATAAATTCCATCCTTATCAGTTTTATTAGTCTAGGTTATGAGCTAATGGACTTTTAATCATATCTCTTGACCTTTTGATAGTAAATAGGCTCGTACCTGAGCATGGGCAAG